GGGATTGTTTGTGGAAGACCGACTAAAGGTGAGATTATTAGTTTACATTATTCCAAAAATATAATACTCCTATGAATGAACAATAAAAATAGTACTATTTAATAGTACTATAATTTCAAAAGAATTATGCAATCATGTACTGATGTACAGAGGCCTATATCTGGCTATATGCGAGTACCATAAGGAAGAACTTTTTTGCACATTTTCTGCCAATGGACAATGGTACAAACTTTATCATATAACAATGAAGAGAAATTCATTCAGGGGATGCCCCGGTTTCTCATGGTGAGAAACAAATTTGTTTCTCATAATGACATTTTTGTGAATAAATCAACAATTTTTTCATTATTGTGGGCTCCACAATTAAATAAAGTTGAATAAAGTGTTGATTTATTTACGAAAATGCCATGTGAAAAACAAAATTTGTTTCTCACCATGAGAAACAGAGAATTTCCCATTTATTTTCTATTTTCTTTCATATCCTTGTGATGACTAATAGTTTTAAAAGAGCTTATTTCAATGCCATAAACATAATTTTAAAAGAGCTTATTCCGATACTATAAACAAAACTATTTTCCATAAAAAAAAAATTATATATATTGTATAAAATAAAATACCTCAACTATAAATGAAGAGCATACATAATCCTAAAAAACAATTTAATTTTTAATTTCTTAAACATTTCTTTAAGATAAATTTGTAATTCAATAGATAAAGTCTATCAAGAATGAGACTTTGATTGTGTATACCTTAATTAATCATAAAAAAATAAAAAATAAACACTACTACAAAAATGGCCAAAGAGACCTAAGATAAGAGACCGCTTAATTAAATAACAGGTCTCTTTGTTTCAAGAGACCCAATATTACAAATAACGGGTCTCTCTCATACTACCTTAAGAAAGTGAAAATTAATAAAGACCCTTTACCAAAGATAACTGGTCTCTCTTGAATTTTTTTGTTTGTAATTTTTAAAATGGAGAGACTCGAGTTCTTAAAAAAACGGTCTCTAGACTAACACCTTAGACCGCCTATTTGAGTTAGGCGGTCTCTGCATCTAGCACATTAGACAACATATTTAAGTTAGGCGGTCTCTTGCTATTTTTTCACACTTACACGCTACTTTTTTTTTTTTTTTTTTACTTTATCATTTTCTATTTTAATCCCCTTTATAGCTTTTGGGCTTTACCCCAACCCGTTTTTGATACTCCCTCCTCATTTAAAACCCTAGATTGCTTCCAGCATCCTTCCTTCCAATCCTTCCCCTCCTTGTCTCTCTCTATTTTGTTTCAATTCATGCAACCACCTCTAACCTTTGCACCTTTGCACTTCCATCAATCTCACTCACAGTCCTTCACCCATACTCTCTCCTTCTCGATCTCAGCCCCGCCAACATAACTCCACCCTATACATCCCTCAACTTTGCTTGTCACGCGGCGGTGCTTTTGCAATCAACTCGCCATTCTCATGCTCGAACACTCGGCACTCTCTCTTTGGGTTCAAAGGTTTGTCTCTCTCTCTCCCCCTCTTCATCTTTTATTTTTGTATATTATTTTTCTAGAATGAGTTGATTTTCGATTTGAAATGTGTGGGTTATTTTTCTTGAATTTTGTTTCCATAATTTATTTGATGTTTTCAAAAAATCTTGTAGTTTACTATCTTTAAATTAGATGAAAATACATTTCAAAATCACAATAATCGGCTCAAAATCACAATGGATAACTAGATTTACTCTTGAAAGGTTATTTTGAAATACCTAATGAAAGATCCCGTAAAAAAAAAAAAAACAAAAAAACAAAAACAACCAAACGAAAGAGTGTGTTGAAACTAAAAGTCAGATCTCATTTCACAAAGAGGATTAATTTTAGCGAACTTGTTGTAATTTTTTTTAAATAAAAAATTTATGTTTAGTTATACTTTTTCTTTCATTTTTCATAGGTTATTAATGATTTTATCAATTCAATTGGGGTAGAATAGTTTTTTCTGGGCACTCCATTTGAATTCTGTGTGTGTTTTTTTTTTTAATTTACTTTTGAAATTCTGGATTTGGATTTTTTTTTTAGGTGGAGGTTGTTGTTAACACAATTTTTCTGGGTTAAGCTAATTCTTATATGTTAATTGCAGCTTATAATCGAATGGATCAGTTCATATTCGAAGCTAAAGAAGAAGATCTACACGAATGAGTTGTTGAAGTTTGGGATGAAGAAGCATTTTATAGGATTAATTTTTTTTATATATGTAATTATCGATTTTGTATAATTTTGTACTATATACTCTATACCATGTATAAATATATTAAATGTATAAAAATCAATTAGTTATTTTGATGAAATGTAATTTTAATTTACGATTTAAAAATCAAATAAAATAAGCTTTTTTTTTTATTTTTAAATGATGCCCAAGAGACCTGTGAAGTTAGATAAGCGGTCTCTGTTTTCAAAAAACAAAGACTGCCTAAGTTCAATAGGCGGTCTTAGTTTTCCCATAAAAGAGACCGCCTAACATCAATAATCAGTCTTATTTTTCTCATTCTAGAGACCGCCTTTCAACAATAGGCGGTCTTAGTTTATTCATTCTAGAGACAGCTTCCATCAAAGCAGTCTCTTTGCCAAAGAGACCGCTTAGCTAGAGACCGCCTATAAAGCAGTCTCTTTGGCTTTATTGGACGGGTCTCTTTGGCCATTTTTGTAGTAGTGGCCTAAAATACTATAAAGAAGCATAAAGGAGCAAATTCCAAGTATCAGGAACACTAGAAAGACACCAATGTGAGCAATCTCCACCAGTTTTTGAGTTACCATATTTCTGTGGATGTGCATCGAGCCATAATTGGGTCAACAATGAGACGTCCAAAAAGAAAGGTGGGTTATTCATTTGGCCCAATATGTTCTTCACTATAATTATATACTCCTAGACTCTAGTGTAGCTATCTATCCCTAAACCCCCATCCCTAAACAATGCATAAACAAACCCAACAACCCCATTCTGTAATTGTGTAGTAACTGAATAGTAACCACACTTTTTACCCACCTATAGATAATAAAAAAAAATTTAAAAAAAATTCAAATCATCATTTCATTTCATTTTCTCTCTCCTTACCCATTTTCTCTCTCTACACCCATTTTCTCTCTCTAAACCCATTGATCTACTTTTTCAAACCCAAAATTTCTACGAATTTGAGACAAATTATCAATAAAAATTGTTCAATCACTACAAAATTCAACAAAACAAGATTGAAATTCGAAAGAATAAGTGGTTTTGCTCATATTTGGTTCAAAAAGAGTATGAAACCTAGGTTTTACTAATTTTTTTTTTGTGATTGTATTTCAAAACAATTATTGAAACATCAACTGCGGAAAATGCATCATGTAAGTATTTACTATAGTTTTAGTAATTTTTGTTCAAAAACTAATAAATCAAATCATTACATTCTTCATTTTTTTTGTACAACGAAGAAAACAGTTCTAGAGAAGGAAAACAAAGATTCTGGAAAAATGTAAGTATTAATAAAATTGATTTGTAGTGAAATTTTTCTTTTGATAGATGTTCATTTCCATTTGATAAATGCTCATTTATACATTAGTATACTATCATTCACATGTTTTTTTTTTTCGAAAAAACTCTCATTTAATTAATACAAATGCTCATAGATCATTCAATTCATATGTATTTAATAATTTATAGTCATTCGTGTAATAATGTTCATTTTTTCATAGTTTGATGTGGAGAATTATTTTGATGAATGTTCGTTTTTATTTTGGTAAATGTTCAATCACATAATAATACATGGTCATTCACAATTTCACATATTAACATACGATTATTAGAATATCAAAGGTGTTTGATGAATGTTCATTTTTATTGCAGTACGAAGGAAATAGTTTTAGAGAAGAACATAGAAAATCTGGAGAAAAGTAAGCATTAATTAAACTAGTTCGCAGTGGGTTTTTTATTTAATAAATGTTTTTTTTCCATTTTGATAGATGTTCATTTGTATATTAGTATATAATCATTCACATGTTAATAGATGATATATATATATATATATATATATATATATATATATATATATATATATATATATATATATATATATATATATATATATATATGTCATTGTATTGATGTTCATTCTTTTTCATAGTTTGGAGTGGAAAATTATTCTGATGAATGTTCATTAGTATTTCATGTTCATTGATTGATATCTTTCATAGGCATTTTTCAACTAATGCATGTTCATTTATATATTAATAGATTGTCATTTTAATATTCAATTATCTAATTATGTTCATTTATGTATTAAGAGTTGTTCATTTCCATATTAATGGATGTTCATTTCTATACTATTATATGATCATTTATTTATTAATATATGTTCATTTTCATATATATCGATCATTTCAATTGTTCTACAATTCATATTCATATGAAAATTGGTTCATTTCAACACTTATTCTTGCTCAAATCTAACTAAAAATTCATTTATTTTTGTCTATTAGTTAAACAAAGAATTGTGGATATAGTGAGTTAGTTACACCACATAATAGCAAGAAGAAAAAAGAAGACGACAAAAATAAGGAAATTAATCAAGAAGACATGGATTTGCGAAACATGAACCAATAACATGAGCTTGTATTTTTTTTGGATCGAGAATTCAGTATGTATAATAATATGTGTGGAATTGTGTTGTATATTTTAATATCCAATATTTTAATTTTTGGTGATATAAAATTTCTATTTGATTTTAATAAGAAGGAAATAAACTTTTTTTTCCCAAAGTATTATTACAAACCACATCCTTCAAAAGCAAACATTTAAAAGGAAATAAACTTTTTTTTTTTCCCAAAGTATATATAATGTTCATATTTTTTGATGACTTATATAATGTTCATATTAGGAAACCAATATGTTCATAAACAAAAAAACTAAATATTCATAACAACTTGAATTTGTGGTTGAGCATTTACAATTGTCGACTTTGAACCATTATTCACTAACTATATATATTAGAATATTTGACACTATCAATAGAAAACTGTACAAAAGCTAAACATTCAGTTCTTGTATCAAATCTCTCATAGGACATAATATTTCTACACTTGTTATCTTTCTAACAATCCTCATTAGAACAAATATATATTTTCATAGAAAATGAGTCATCCCTTTGCCTCTTACTACTCCCAACTCTGATGCCAAAACCTTTCATAAAAGCATACTCATTATACATTTCATATGCATCATCTTCAAAAGGAAATTGTTTTCCCCAAAAATCAAATTGACTTGCTTCTTCAAAAATAACAGCATTCTCTTTTTCCCACTACAATAATTAAACATGTAACAAATGAACACATACAGTTGCAATAATGGTCAATCACAATAATGCATTTGATCAATTACAGTTAAATTACCATATGTAAAAATATATATGATCATCTATAGTTACATAACTAAACATTATTTATGAAACTACAAAACATTGATAATCATTAAAAGTCACATGTACAACTTATAATCCCATAAACATATATATATATATATATATATATATATATATATATATATATATAAATGAACATTTATAATTGCATAATTGAACATTATTACAAATACACAAAATAACAAATTTTAAAATATGTTCACTAGTTAAAATATATATGAGCGTCTTTACAAGAATAAAAATCATTGAAATTCACGTGTACAACATTTATATTTAAATACAACTACAATAAACCTATAGTTTACTACAGAAAACATACATTAAACATAAATGAACATTGGATGGTGGAAATGTTCACTTTCGTGTTTATGAAACAATTACATGTAATTGTATAACTATATGGAAATGCATTATTATTGTAATTAAATTGAATTTATTTTATATTGAAAATTATGTTTAACAATTCTTTATTTATATAAATTCAATTATAAGACGTATGTATTTGCATACATCTTACTATAAAAATTACACATAGCTTTTGAAATGAACATTTAATGATACAAAAATGAACATATGTTGAAACACGAATAAACAAAAATGTACATTGGATGATGCAATACTTCTAATAATAAAAATGACTAGAACGCATCAATCCATATAATAAATTTGCTCTTATTTTTATTGATAAAAAAATTCTTAAAATGCAATTCATAAAATATATTAATTTGAACAAAAACTCCTTATTATAAAAATGAACATCTAATGATTTATAAATGAACATTTACCAATACAAAAATGAACATATTATAAAAAATTTACAGAAAATTCATAAATGAAAAGGGACAGGGGCGGGACACGCGCGGAAGGGGGGTGCAGGCAGTGTTCCCTACCATAGAGTGTAGGTAAAAATTTGTATGGCCAAAGTACTAAATTGGACCCGGAATAGTTTTTATATGCGGCCCAATGATATAGAGGAGGGCCTATTATTAATAATATTCCTAAAGTCATTAGGATTGACTTTAGTCTTCTAGAATAATCTAGAAGTTTCTCTTAAATCCTAATGGAATTAGGATTGATAATTATAATTTAAAGAGTTTTATTTGGAATAAAATAAGTGTTTTATTTTGATAAATCTGATTTTAAAACTGATAAACGCGGATTCTAATTACTTAATTATATCAGGAAAAGGATTCCATACAAACACGTTTTTATCTTTTAACTAGCGTCAAACGACAGTTTTGTCACACGATGACAGGGTCTGTCGCACGGTGACAGCTATGCCACAGAACCAATTTTAATCCGATTCAAATTCTAACTCTTTTCTATCGGTTTCCGGACTATTTTTCTATAAATAGGGCCCTTCACCTCCGTTTTCAAATCATCAACATCAACAATCAACAAGCTTGATCACAATCATCTCTCTTCTCTCTCTAAGCTAAAGCTTATTCTCTCTCTATTCTCTTTCTAAAATTGCCCTTTTCAAAAAATCATACCGCATTCATTAGTTCTAGACACACCTAGCCAAGCTCGAAGTTGCCTTCGCCCTCGACGTGAAAGGTTGATACTTTCTGAGGGTTTGATCCCAAATCCCTATTTCAATTATCTAATTTAATTGTTTGATTTAATATTTTATTGAATTTTACTAACGTGTGTATTCATTTGATAGAAAGAGGTACGAGGCATCAAAGTGAGTAATTTTATTACTCTATCCTTTAGAAAGCATGTTTAGATTATATTAATTCCTAGTATCATGTTAGGATGTTTTTATTGCTTTCTAGTATCATGTTTAGGGTGCTTCCTATTCTTTCTAATATCATGTTAGTATCATGTTAGGGCTAAAGCTTTGATTTTTATTGTTTAGTGACATGCTAGGATTTGTTATTAATCTTGTTAGTATCATGCCTAGGATCTTACTAATATTATTATGCTTTATTGAGTTTATGATGATGATGATTGTTGGATTGATTGATATCATGTTGCTTGATATATATTATTGTTATTGTTTGGTCACGCCTTTTATGCAGGTTTAAAAAGAATTTGTACTTGAAATCACGCCTAATAAGATTTTAATTCAAGTGATTGCCAATAATAGTTTTGTTTGTGCATTAATATCAACCAACATAGATTAAACAGGTTTAGGGTTAACTTCATGATTGTATGTTAGTCAGAAAGCGCACATGAATATGAGAAGAATAAAGTAGATGCCTATTTTATAGGTGGGTTCAATCTCTTTTAGGTTGGATTCGTACCTTCACCCCCAAATATCCATTCATAGTTCCAGACCACTATGGAGTTAGCGATCTCTTGGATCGTGAAGGGGTGTAACCTTCACCCTGTGAGCGGTTTACGAGTTCCTAAAACTTGTTGGCGACTATTTTGCTCTAGCTTCTTTCCCTTTGGACGCCACCATGCTCAAGTGTATGATCACAGTGGGGTTCAAGTTTGGGATGCTTGAAATATTCCCTACAGTTCTATATGACTATTCTCAGTAATACCTTTCATGATTTGCACATCGTTCCCTAAATTCATGCTAGTAATGCCACAAGCATCTTGTAACATATTAAGTTCACTATCATCATCTAACTCATCATTTTCATTGACACTTTGTAAAATTTCCCCATGAAATTCCCAGAAGGTATAGTTCTCATACATTCCCCACTTAAGTAAGTCTAATCTTATATCACATCTCTTTTTACAATATATATTTCGACACTTATTACAAGGACATCTAATAGTCTCATCTAATCTTACATGGGAATAGGCAAAATTTAAAAAGCCATCAACACCTTTAACATAATTAGGAGACGATCAATTTTTTATTTTCATCCAAGTCTTATCCAAATCCATCTCCTAGTACTCGAAAAAAAAAAACATGTAGATTAATAACACAATACAAGGATAAAAATTTATAAATTATAGAATAAAAAAAAAACAACCATTTTTATTAATCACAAGACACCCTCATACTCGCCAAACCAACACACAAACAACAAAACAAAACATAACACACCAGAGAAACAAAAATCTAAAAAAAAAAAAAAAAAAAGAAAACCCACAACCCATTGACACAACCTGCCCCTCAAAAACAATGGCCCAACCAGATTAGCAGACACACCACAACAACATAAGCAAACTCAAATGCAAACCTCACACCCACCTTAGGAGGTTTTTAATAATTACACCAAACTAAACTGACAATTCAACCAACAGCCCAACAAATAGGAAAAACGAAAACTACAACGACAACCCAGAAATTCATATGAAATTAATTTTCAACGACAAGCTAATTTCAATGTAATATCATGCAACACATATTATCAACTATTAATTGAACTCAACTTCCACTTAGAAATAACCTTGACCATCCAACAATTACAAAAATTATGAAATTAACCCTTCAAATTATACCGAGATTGGTACCCAGATGCTAGTAACAACTAATAATCCTCTACTAGTAAAATTCTTCAGAGCTAACCCTTCATTAAACCATAAAATCGAACCCATCAATTTTTTAAAACCCAGAAATTAAATTGAACCCGACAAAATTAAGACCCTACAAATTGAACACAACAATTAAAAGTTAGAAATCTTACATGCAAAGGCCAAGTAGTGTAGCCAGAGGAAGGATGCATCGCTGGTGAAGTCGTTCACTGTAGCCGCCGCCGAAGAACAATGAAGGAAAGAAAATGAAATTGTGTAAGGTTCTTGAGTTGGAAAGTGGTCTGGGGTTTTTTTGTTCTTAGAATAAGAACAAAATGAAATAAAAAAGGATGGGAATTAGCTGTATGTCTTTTGTTAATGTGGCTATTTGTTTGTTTGTTTGTTTTTTTTTTTTTTTTTTGATATATTGTTGCAACAACTACTATTGTTGTTAAATATATTGATCTTTTTTGCCACAACTACAGTTGTTACAATACTCGAGACTTAATTTTTTGCGACAACTACTGTTGTGGCTATACATTAATTTTTTTTTGATACGAATACTTTCGTTGCAAATCATAGTTTTAAATTTTTACCCCGAAATTTTCATTGCCCGCGCTAATGGTTGTTGGAGGGAAACGAAAATTTTATTTTTTGCAACAAGATTTGCAACGGTATATTTGTAGTCGTTGCCAAAATTATATTTTGCAACGACAAACTTTAAGCCGTTGCAAAAACTTGTTGCGATAATTAGTTTTTCTTGTATTGACAATTATACATCTTGGGGGGTTTTTCTCAGGTCTTGAGCCTTTTACCCTTTCTTCTTCAAACCACTAGCTTAACCACATTAAAATGCTCGAAAGACCCATTTGAGGTATACATACACTTGTGTAAAGTTCGGTTAGAGCTACGTTCGGCCTGATTCCTAACAGATACGTAGGGAACCTCACATCGAGGTGCGGCTACATTCATATTCATATTCAAATATGATTGAGTCAAAACATTTCCAATGCTCATCCCTGTCCATCTAGAGCTAGATTTGGGGGCTTGAATCCAAATTACCCAGCCTAAAGAGTCACCATCTTGACTCTTTTCACATCTATTTCCATCACCATAGCCTTTGCAGCCAGCCTTAGTATCACTTTCACACACTTCATTCACATATTCATGGCTATATCCTCTTTCCTTTAGGAACCCCTTATCATGAAGGCCATGTTTGGTAAATGGCTTTTTGGTAGCTTTTTGGTTAGCTTTTGGCTTTTGGCTTTTTTGTGTGGTCAAACAGCCAAAAAAAGTGTTTGGTAATTGGCTTTTTAGTCATCGAAAAGGCTGGCTTTTATGCCAAAATAAAAAAGCTGCTTTAAGTAGCTTTTTTTATTGGCTTGTTGGCCCACAAATTATTTAATAAACAGCTAACAACCAACAATTAATTTACCAAACACTTTTATAAACATCCAACTTAGCCAATTTCAAAAGCCATTATAAACAGCCAAACATTCTAACTGGTCAAACAAGCCAAGTGAACCAGCCAAAAGTCATTTGCCAAACAAGGCCGAAATCTTGTTCCCACACCACACATGCTTCACGACAGCATCCAGCAAAATCATCATCATCATTCGATAGGATTATCACATATGTACTTAGCTTCCTGACCTAAGTACATTCATCAAGATTCATTGTTACACTTCCTTAGCTCCCTGACCTAAGCAATACTCAGCAATCACCATTGTATACGTGTCTAGATTCTAGACCTAAGCAACTTTCAAGATGATTTGTTTTTTATACACACTATATATGATGCTTAGCTTCCTAACTTAAGCAACATACATTGTCAACAAACTATTGTGCTTAGCTTCATAACCTAAGTGCATTCATTGATCGTGTCACATGATGTAATTTTCCTTAGCCTCTTGGCCTACGAACATTCCTCATGCATACAATATTTTCAAGACGAGCAATTCAATTTGACAAGAAGAAAATCCATGCGATTCGTCTCACTTTGCTCAATGAGGAAGCTCATAACTTCTTCCCTTTTTCATGTCTTTTCTTCTTGGGAAGTTCAAAAAAAAATTTCAAATTTTTCTCGACGTGAAAGTACAAAACTTCTTCTATTTTTCATCTTTTTTATTTTGGGGAAGTTCAAAAAAAATTTCAAAATTTTTATTGAGGAAAGTTCTAAAACTCTTACTTGTTGTAAATTGTTATTATTATGGATGTCCATTATGGTGTATAACCCCCCATCTTTATGACTCCCATTGTAACCCCTTTGTAACCCCCTTGTATTATGACTACTATACTACACTTTGTAAACCCTACTTAAATGTATGGACTCTTCATTGTCCATGTGAATGATCATATGCTCATGTATAAATATGACATAGCTGAATGAAATGAATGGTAGAATACATTATCATCTCTATCTTTCTCTACACTATCCTCTATTCTCTTTATTTTATAACACATTATCAGCACATGAATTATATGTAATTATCTAATAGGAGGGGGGGAGATATTATTTATTTCATTATTATATGTAATCCTTGTACATGAATGATATGATACATTGATGATCGCTCGGTCGTGTATACATTAGCTTTAATATCAATGTCGACAATTTATTTAATATAAGTGACCACATAATATCACATATATACAATGACACCATCTTGAAGATGGATATGAATAAATATCATTGACTATATATCAGTTGTAAATACTCCAATTAAAATTAATGTCCCAGAAGAACAACATCGGTTACTAATGAACTTAAAGCACACTTGAAGCATGGTAGTCCAATAGATTTAAAATATAATAACCTTCGAAAAAAGGGAAGGATCGAAGCAACTATTGACAATGACAATTTTGAGGAAGTGATAAATCCCATTACATTTATAGGAAAAATCACTTTTAGTAAAATTCATATGTTCCATGATTATATAAAAGATTCCAGAGAAGAGTATGAAATGTCCAACAAGATTAACATGCATGTATCAAGATTATAGTCAAAGCTTATGAGTAATTATTGGATAAAGTATTAGTTGTTTATCTTGCCAATTGTATAAAAAAACACATGTTGATGTTCTAATATCACATCATATCCATCGCCATGCATAAAATAACTTTAATAAAGTGATCACTAGTGTTAGAAAACTAATCAATATTTAAATGTAGAGAAGTGATTGGATATGATAATTTACTTAAGTCATCCGGGTTTGTTAAATACCCGTTATGCATGGAAACTTGAAGTTTCACTTGATATAAAAAATAACGTGCTGATGCTCTCTCATGTTAGATATTAAGATATATGAAATAAATTGAATGACAAGACATAACATTGAGATTGAGCTATATTTGGATTGTGATTTTAATGGTTTGTTTTGAAGAAATCTCAAGAGATTATATACTAGTTTTGAACAATTTTGCATGTAAACAAGTAATAAGTGGCCAGAAGCTCACTAAAACAACTTGTATGCGTAGAAATTTTGAGTATTTATAAATTCATTATTAAATTATTTGAAGAATAAAAATATCACCATATAGTGGCTTTCATACAAGTGATTTAATATTAAATTAATCTCTTGAATGAAGCTATTTATGTCAACACATACGAAATACAATAAGAAAATAGACAACTGCACAAATTATGACTCCCTATTAAGATTGATCTCCAAAAGAGATAGAAATTACATAATCCTCTAGAAGACTGAAGTTTTTTTTAGTATGATTATCCTATAAGATGAAATTTGTTGAACTTGACATTATATTCTAAGTTTGTGAAGAATTGCCCGAATATTTGAGATATTTTACCAACTTAGGGGGAGAAGAATTGGAGTAAGTTGGCAAAATTGCAAAAATTATAATTAGTTGATCCCTATCTATAAAGATACTTTTTAAAGTTACATGCCAACTTTTATATCAAGATAGGTTGCATATCTATTATTTGATTTGTACATCGTTTTGACCCATTCAAAGGCATAGAGAGATATATTTTGGTCATATTGAGAATGTGCATACATTGAGGTAGATCTTGCCAATTTTTTGAATCACTACACTTGAACTGTAGATTGTAAGATCGGTTCCAATATATGTGATATACGACAAGATAGTGCAGTTGATATTAATACCATAATGTATGAAATACCCCAAATAGAAGTGGTATAATAGAAATTTGAATAATAATAGATGGCCTGATATGAAAAAGGGTTATAATGGTACCAATTGGAGATACATTCAGATATCATAGTAAATTAGCATGCGAAATCATATCTTACTGAATTTTATAATACTTGTATAATATGGAACTAATAAATAATATGCATATACATGATATAATGGACTAGTGAATAAGGGATTTGGATTATATATGTCCATTTTTATGTCGACATAATGATAATGATCAAAAGTTTATCATGGACCAAAAGTCCAATGAAATATGGATGTTTAAATCCAAACTGTACAACGTCTTGCATTATTTTGAGTCTTATGTCCATGTGCATGTGTGAGTCATAAGTTAATGGATTATTCATTGCATATGTCGGAAGTTGTTAGATGCATTACTCATTGTATATTTCGTTTAATATATTTTCATGTTTTCTATATCTCATATTGCATGCATTAATTTCTATATAATAATTGTGGTGTATGTTAATGTTCATTCAAAGTATAGTAAGACTTATTTACAACTTTGATGGTAAATTAGAAAGAGATATTTATATTCCAATGTAAATCCAGTGAAAGCAAGCAATTCAGGGTATGGGCTTATAATTGTGATGAAATTATATATAACGTTGATCTAATATTATTTTTGAATCATGTTAGAAAAGTTCCTAAAGAGCTTATATACGGCGTAATTATATATCAAGCCCTGCAAATTTTATAGTTTTGAAAATTGCAATTATTATCAAACTTTTAGTCTATGTGACTACAACATTGACAACTCAACCTGAAATTTGAGCATATATGCGACTTAGTAAGAGTTACTATTTGTATTTGTAGGAGAACTATCATGTCAATTATATAAATGTCTAAATAATATCAATGGGATAGTTATGCGTGAGAATGTTTTCTTATGGTCCAGAAGAAAAATGATCAATGTATAAATTTACATATGTTATATCATTAAGTCATACGAATTTGAAAAACAACATTAATAATATCATGTGTTGCCATATAATTATTAAGGAATGTTTGATCAATTAATGATCATCAATTTTTATTATTCACTACCTCCAGAAGAAGGCATAACCACATAAGTTTAACTTTTAAAGTAATTTTAATTAAACATAGGTTTGAAATTATGGAGATAAACTCATATATGGCGAAATGAAGGCACTTCATATGTTCATATGAAGACTTGTAGATGCAAAATCAATTTAGGAGGGTCAAAGATTAAGGAATGACATTCTACTACATATGAGAAGACACCTGACCATATTGGTTTCATTGCCACTAGATGAACTCAAGTTATGTATTCATCAGGGAGAGAAAATATGCGCTGCACTCTTTTTCCCTTAATCATGGTTTTGTCCCCGCATTGGGTTTTCCTGCTGGTAAGGTATTTAATGAGGCGGCTTTTTGAGCGTATTTTGAAGAATGTTGTACTCTTTTTCCTTCATCAGGTTTTTATCCCAAAGGGTTTTCCTAATAAGGTTTTAACGAGGCTCAATCTTCGATA